TGCTGTTGACTGAACATTTCAGTAATTGGCAGTGTCCCTGATATTGACAACCTTCTTTCACTTAAGTGCTGCTTATTTTTCTTCCCCTCAGTCCTCCTTAAGTGTGCAGTTGAGTCAGTGTGCTGAAAAAGCCAGCAGTGGCTGAAACCATGTGTGACTGCGCCGACTTGCAGTTAGGTAGGAGGAAAGGACTGTGTTTGGCTAGAATTGCAACAGATCATTAGCAAACAAGATTTTAATTATTGAAATGCTGAACAGCCACTTGGGCAACTGCCCACAATTGTCAACGGGCTGTGGAGTAAACTGGCCCCTAGTGATGAGGATGTATGTCTTGGCTGAGAATTACCACCAACACCGTAACACAGTGCAGTTGCAGCTGGGTTTGCTTGTAACTCCTCAGGGTTTGCAGGCTACAATGCCCCATATACCTTTGTTACTCGGTCTGTGCTGGTTACCTGGGGGACTTCAAGGATTCCTGTCCTGATGCTGCTTAGTTTATGAAATGTGATGAGATCAAAATTTACCATGCTTTATGTACAGCTTCTAATCTTTTGCTGTTCAAATAAGAATGCCATGTCCTTGCTAAAAGGAGGGAGTGACTTCCCTGAGAGGTGTCAGGAGGTTACTAACGTTCATCCAAAAGGACTACATGCCACAGATTTATTTACTTTTTAATATTACTGAATCATTTGGGGCTTTATGTGTCACATTTGCTGAACAAGGACTGGTGCTTCATTTCACATTTGCAATATCATGTTTAACCGCTTTAAAAAATTTTAATTCTTCTACCCAATTCAATTTGTAAATAAATGTTTCATTCTTTGGCAAAGGAAAGCTGGTTTGCATTGGAGCCATACCGAGCATTTTGCGCCTCTCTCCAGCTGCGATATGACCCAGTCACCTGCAGATCAGCTGCCTTGCATATACAGATTGCAGGTGGGTACTTTTTTGGCAGCAGAGGTATTTGGTGTTGTGTAGAACTTAGATCAGAGGGGCTAACAGGACCATGCATCTGGAGTTCATTCAGAGCAGCATTTGCAGACTGGGAGGTCTGTGGTCTGAGGATGCAGTGCCAAGTCCAGAAGCCAACTTTATTCACTTGATAACTGTTATGTTTCAAGAAAGATTACTGGCCCTTGGCCTTGATCAAAAGTTTTCAAGGTACAACCTGCAAAACTTTGTGATTGCTGTCTTTTGACCAAGGGCTATTTGTATTGGAGATTGATTTTGTTGTGAGGCTCCCTTCATAGGAAGTTCTGCATGACAAAAATGTAGGACTTGCGCCAAAGATCGTGGTGTAACTGAAATGTTTCAGAAATTAAACTGGTTGCATGACTGTGTACTGCTAAAGGGTTTGAGTCAGATTCTTAAAACATTTCATGTGTTCTCCTTCCTCAAATAAGTGTCATTTTTGAATGCTTTGAGCAAAGGGTCTTTCTACAGGTGAGCAAGTCTTTTGACAAGCTTCATTAATGTTGATTTGCATGATTTTCTCTTTAACATAATCCACTCTTTTTTCTTCTTGTTGTTTGTTTGGAACTTTTTTGTTGCTTGAATTAATGGGGTAATTAATTAGATTCATATTTTTATCCTGCTGGTCTTCTGAAACGCATATAGAGAAATAAGGCAAGGTGTGGTCTCTTCCAGTGCTGGAATAAATTGTTGAAGCAGCATGTGCTCACCTTCAGGGGGCAGCACAGGTTGGTAAAAGGTTCAGAGGTGCTTCTCTCTTCCTCAGCCTCCAGTGGAGGCTAAGAGATCGTGTCCCTCAGGTCTGCTCCATCTGACAGTGCCATCTAAAGGGCTACTAAAATGTTGGCAAAAAGTTAGTTTCAAAGCCATCCTGGCCGCTTTCCAAGCAAAGTGTTGTTTACCTTTTCCCTTTCTCCCTGTGGTAATTAGCAAGATACTACACTGAAGACAGAGTGGCTGCTCGCTGCTCTCTCCCTGCCACTGATGTGCATCTTTTATTTGCCCTCTAAAGAGAGTCATCTCCACTGTTTGAAGAACTGCATGCTCCATTAAAAGGTCTGTCTGGGCCAGATTCACTCGTAAACGGGTATTTCACCCCACACATTTCCTGTCCATTCAAAACACTGCCAAAGCGAAAACATCCATTTCCTCTCAGGATACACTCTCCATGTAGGACTGGCAATGTTGCTTTCAAGAGGCAGAAGCCAATCCTCAGTGAAACTGCTTCAAAAGCACAAGAAGAAAGAAATACATTTAAAACTCAAGAAGCATATTTCATTTTCTGGCTTTTGAGTCTCTGGGGCTTACCTTTTGAAGCTCACTCAAGGGCCAGAATGGTCTCTTCTTAAGAATCACATGCTGATGTAGTGGTGTATTTATTTATCTCATATCCCATGCTAGGGAAACATCTCGTACTGATACATGTAGTTTCATGCAATAGTAGCATACCAGTGTCAAAGATATGGGTAGCCAGACCATAAACATCAATTAAATAATACCCCCAATGAATTCCATTGCTATTTTCTAGAAAATTGTCTAATTAATACTGTTTCCATTACTTAGCTCGTATGACTCACAGATAAAAAGTTGGATGACACAGCTGGTAAGGAGTTGTCTAAGCTTTTATAGTAAATATTTATGTGAAACGATGACTTGTATTTTAGTTTTCTTGTCCTGTTTTCCATGTACAAAGTATTTAAACCTTCAGTTAACCTCTGGACTACATTTTTTTCCCTTTTCTGTGAGAATTTTTTCTCAGAGAGAAAATTTTTTGGCCAAAATAACTATCATTTTCCATGATATGGCTTAAAAATAAAAGTGATTATACAAGCTGGTTGTTTGAAGTTCTACACACCCTGAAGCTACAACATTTTCTGGCTGACATATGAATACAACTGAGTTGCCAGCAGCCGCTGTGCATGTTCAGCATGTTTCCAGACAGGCTGGTGCTCTCCAGGATTTTGACTGTGATTTTTGCCTTTTACTGTTAGGAAGTATTCAGGGATTGCGTAGGGCTCTTAATGAGCATAGATAAGAATATGCATTCAGCTGGTATCATAAGATGACATAACAGAATGAAAGGTTCACTACACTAAAACAAAGAAAAGCCAGGTTCTGATTTCAATTGCACCTCTTTATCTCCATAGGTTCAAGTGAACTGCACTGTGTTATTTCTATCTAATGAACCATATTTTAAAAAATCAAGACAAACATCAAGATTTGATCAGGTTTATGTACTTTGCCAGGATTTTGGTCATATATAGATAAGTAAAAGCATTTAACAGTAAAAGTATTACTGAACATGCTCTGAGTTATCTCTATAAATTTAGCTCTAGTATAAGGTGACGTAAAACCCAGAGATAACTGTCCTCCTTATCCACATTATGGTATTTACTTTGTAAGATAAGCAACTTACTCAAGATGTATGAATCAGAGAAAAAGCAGCTGAATGTTGGTGGTGGGTGGTGGTTTTTCTTGTTAAATTACCAAAATCAAAGGGCTTTCCTGAAGATTCTGTGTAAGCAGTAGTACAAAGTCTGGCTTACTCATCACAGCACAGTGAGCAAATATTGCTCAGAATTTGGGATTGTTTTATAGCCTGGTGTGCTTAGGAAGGGCCAAAATGGAGAGTGAAATCCAGCTAATCATCTATTACACTGGAAGAAACTCACATGTTGTCTTCTCAAACCAACAGCCTGTTGCAAATTGGTTTTGAACAGGGAAGTTCATGTTCACGTACTTACTGGTCCCCTCCTAGGAAGTTGAACTGCAGTCAGTCTGACTTTTTAATGTTGCAGTACCCTGGGTTAAGATAAACCAAAGATTTTACATGTAGAAAGTATTTTTTGTATCATGGGTGTGGATTTATGACTGCTGTGTAGCTAAGCTAAGCTTCTAATTCCTGAGATAAGCTGATTTTATATTGAGACTTCTGATGTGGCAGTCTCTCCTCTTGTATGTTGAATTTTTAACTCTCTAAAATTACGTTTTCTACCTTTTTCCTCAGTTAAAGTATCTCATACTGAAAATTACCATGTTTTGTACTCAGTGGGACCTGTATTCATTCAGTAGTTCTAGAAACAAAAATCTTTCTCGAGATAGTTGAAGCAGCATGTTATTTTTTAGAAATGTGAATACAGTTGGCCTGCCAGTTTTATCTGTGGGAGTCAGCCCTGGTCAGTCACTTTTTCTGGCAGCAGCACAGGAAAAACTCAGAAGTATTAAGGCAAAACACATTTTATTGTGGGACATGACTCATAGGAGAGGAATATTTACGAGTAGGCT